GCTCAAATACACATATATCAGCAATTTAGCTTGGTTCGTGCGCAAAGAAAAGTTCGGCGCCTGCGATGACGACTGTGTTTTTCGACAAACGGCAAGAAAGCGCATGGACCCATACATGCGTAGGGAAAAGCGTCAAACGACCTGGATGTTATTGCATATTCAGGTGGCCCATGCTAAAAGACATCTAATTGAGCAATTTTAGCTTGGTTCGTGTGCAAAGAAAAGTTCGGCGCCCGCGATGACGACTGTTTTTGCCGACGAATGGCAAGGAAGCGCATGGATCCCTTCATGCGTAGGAAAAAGCATCAAACGACCTGAATGTTATTGCATATTCGGGTGGCCCATGCTAAAAGACATCTACTAGAGCAACTTCAGCTTGGTTCGTGCGCACAGAAAAGTTCGGCGCCCGCAATGACAGCTGTTTCTGCCAAGGAAAGCTAAGGAAGTGCATGGATCCCTATAGGCATGAAAAAATATCAAACGACCTGAATGTTATTCCATTTTCGGGTGGCCCATGTTCAAATACACATATTAGAGCAGTTTTAGCTTGGTTCGTGCACATAGAAAAGTTCGGCGGCTGTGATGGCTGCTGAGTCTGCTGACGAATGCTAAGGAAGCGCATGGATCTCTATAGGCGTAGGGAAAAGCATCAAAGGATCTGGACGTTATTGCTTATTCGGGTGGCCCATATTTAAATATACCTACCAAAGCATTTTCAGCTTGGTTCGTGCGCACAGAAAAGTTCGGCGCCTGCGATGACGGCTGTTTCTGCCAAAAAATGCTAAGGAAGCGCATGGATCCCTATAGGCGTAGGGAAAAGCATCGAACGACCTGAATGTTGTTGCATATTCGGATGACCCATGTTCAAATGCACCTAACACAAAAATTTTAGTTTGGTTTTCCCGCACAGAAAAGTTCGATGCCGGTGATGACGACTGTTTCTGTGGACAAATGCTAGGGAAGCACGCGGATCCCAATAGGCATAGGGAGAAGCATCGAATGACCTGAATGTTATTGCATATTCGGGTGGGCCATTTTAAAATGCACCTATAAGAACAATTTCAGCTTGGTTTGTGCGCACAGAAAAGTTTGGCGCCTGCGATGACGGTTGTGTTTGCTGACAAATGCTAAGATAGCGCATGGATCCCTATAGGCTTAAGGAAAATCATCGAACGACCTGAATGTTATTGCATATTCGTGTGGCCCATGTTCAAATACACATACCAGACCAATTCAAGTAAAGTTCGGCGCCTGCAAAGACAGCTGTGTCTGCCGACAAATGCTAAGGAAGCGCATGGATCCCTATAGGCGTAGGGAAAAGCATTGAACACATAAATGTTGTTGCATACGGGTGGCCCATGTTCAATTATACCTACTAGAGCAATTTCGACTTGGTTCGTGCGCACCGAAAATTCGGCGCCTGCGATGACGGCTGTGTCTGACGACGAACGCAAAGGGAGCGCATGGATCCCTATAGGCGTAGGGAAAAGCATCGAACGACCTGAATGTTGTTGCATATTCGGGTGGCCCATGTTCAAATACACCTACCAGAGAAATTTTGGCTTGATTCGTGTGCACAGAAATGTTCAGCACCTGCAATGACGACTGTATCTGCCGTCGAACGCTAAGGGAGCGCATGGATCCCTATAGGCGTAGGGAAAAGCATCGAAGAATGTTGTTGCATATTCGGGTGGCCCATGCTCAAATACATCTACCACAACAATTTTGGCTTGGTTTGTGCTCACAAAAGAGTTCAGCGCCTGCGATGACGGCTGTGTCTGCCGACCAACGCTAAGAGAGCGCATGGATCCCTATAGGTGTAGGGAAAAGCATCGAACAATGTTGTTGCATATTGGAGTGGCCCATGTTCAAATACATATACCAGAGCAATTTCGGCTTGGTTCGTGCGCACAAAAAAGTTCAGCGCCTGCGATGACGGCTGTGTATGCCAACGAATGCTAAGGGAGCGCTTGTATCCCTATAGGCGTAAGGAAAATCATTGAACAACCTGAATGTTGTTGCATATTTGGGTGGCCCATGTTCAAATACACCTACCAGAGCAATTTCGGCTTGGTTCGGGCGCACAGAAAAGTTCGGCGCGTGTGATGACAGCTGTGTCTGCCGACGAACGCTAATTGAGCGCATGGATCCCTATAGGCGTAGGGAAAAGCATCGTAAGACTTGAATGTTGTTGCATATTCGTGTGGCCCATATTCAAATACACCTACTAGAGTAATTTTGGCTTTTTTCAAGTGCACAGAAAAGTTCGGCGCCTGCGGTGACAGCTTTGTCTGCTGACGAACGCTAAGGGAGCGCATGGATCCCTATAGGCGTAGGGAAAAGCATCAAACGACCTGAATGTTGTTGCATATTTGGGTGGTCATATTCAAATACAACTACAAGAGAAATTTTGGCTTGGTTCGTGCGCACAGAAAAGTTCGGCGCCAGCGATAACGGCTGTGTCTGCCGACGAACGCTAAGGGAGCGCATGGATCCTTATAGGCGTAGGGAAAAGCATCGAACGACCTGAATGTTGTTGCATATTCGGGTGGCCCATGTTTCGATACACTTGCCAGAGCAATTTTGGCTTGATTTGTGCGCACAAAAAGTTCGGCGCCTGCGATGACGGCTGTGTTCGCCGACGAATGCTAAGGGAGCGCATTGTTCCCTATTGGCGTAAGGAAAAACATCGAACGACCTGAACGTTGTTGCATATTCGGGTGGCCCATGCTCAAATACACCTACCAGAGCAATTTTAGCTTGGTTCATGCGCACAAAAAAGTTCAACGTCTGCGTTGACGGTTGTGTCTGTCGACGAACGCTAAGGGAGCGCATGGATCCCTATAGGTGTAGGGAAAAGCATCAAACGACCTGAATGTTATTGCATATTTGGGTGGCACATGTTCAAATGCACCTATCAGAGCAATTTCGCTTGGTTCGTGCGCACAAAAAAGTTCGGCGCCTGCGATGACGGCTGTGTCTTCCGACGAATGCTAATTGAGCGCATGGATCCCTATAGGCGTAGGGAAAAGCATCGAACGACCTGAATGTTGTTGCATATTCGAGTGGCCCATGTTCAAATATACATACCAGAGCAATTTTGGCTTGGTTCGTGCGCACAAATAAGTTCGGCGCTTGCGATGACGGCTGCGTCTGCCGATGAACGCTAAGGGAGCGCATTGATCCATAGAGACGTAGGGAAAAACATCGAATGACCTGAACGTTGTTGCATATTCGGATGGCCCATGTTCATAGACACCTACCAGAGCAATTTCAGCTTGCTTCGAGCAGAAAATTTCTGCGCCTGCAGTGACGGTTGTGTCTGCCGACAAACGTTAAGGGAGCGCATGGATCCCTATAGGCGTAGGGAAAAGCATCGTAGGACCTGAATGTTGTTGCATATTTGGGTGGCCCATGTTCAAATACACCTATTAGAGCAATTTTGGCTTTGTTCAAGTGCACAGAAAAGTTCGGCGCCCGCGGTGACAACTTTATCTACCGACAAACGCTGAAGGAGCGCATGGATCCCTATTGGCATAGGGAAAAGCATCAAAAGCCCTGAATGTTGTTGCACATTTTGGTGGCCCATGTTCAAATACACCTACTAGAGCAATTTCAGCTTGGTTCGTGCGCACAGAAAAGTTCGGCGCCTGCGATGACGGCTGTGTCTGCCGACGAACGCTAAGTGATTGCATGGATCCCTATAGGCATAGGGAAAAGCATCAAACAACCTGAATATTGTTGCATATTCGGGTGGTCCATGTACAAATACACCTACTAGAGCAGTTTAGGCCTTGTTCATGCGCACAGAAAAGTTCGGCGCCTGCGATGACGGCTGTGTCTGCCGAGGAACGCTGAGGGAGTGCAAGGATCTCTAAAGGCGTAGGGAAAAGCATCAAACGACCTGAATGTTGTTGCATATTCGGGTGGCCCATGTTCAAATACACCTACCAGAGTAATTTTGGCTTTGTTCGTGCTCACAGAAAAGTTCGGCGCTTGCAGTGACGGCTGTGTCTGCCGACGAATGCTAACAGTGCGTATAGATCCCTATAGGCGTAGGAAAAAGCATCGAACAATCTGAATGTTGTTGCATATTTGGGTGGCCCATGTTCAAATACACCTACTAGAGCAATGTCGGCTTGGTTTTTGCGCACCGAAAAGTTCGGCGCCTGCGATGACGGCTGTGTCTGCCGACGAACGCTAAGGGAGCGCATGGATCCCTAAAGTGGTACCTAAATGTTGTTGCATATTCGGGTGGCCCATATTCAAACACGCCTACTAGAGCAATTTTGGCTTGGTTCGTGCGCACCGAAAAGTTTGGCACCTGCGATGACGGCTGTGTCTGCGGACGAACACTAAAGGAGCGCATGCATCCCTAGAGGCATAGGGAAAAGCATCGAACGACCTGAATGTTGTTGCATATTCGGGTGGCCCATATTCAAATACACCTACCAGAGTAATTTTTGCTTAGTTCGTGCGCACCAAAAAGTTCGGCGCCTGCGATGACGGCTGTGTCTGCCGACGAACGTTAAGGGAGCGCATGGATCCCTAAAGGCGTAGGGAAAAGCATCGAACGACTTGAATTTTGTTGCATATTCGGGTGGCCCATGTTCAAATACACCTACCAGAGTAATTTTGGCTTTGATCGTGCGCACAGAAAAGTTTGGCGCCTACGATGACGGATGTGTCTGCCGACGAACACTAAGGGAGTGCATGGATCACGATAGGCGTGGGGAAAAGCATCAAATGACCTGAATGTTGTTGCATATTCGGGAGGCTGATGTTCAAATTCACCTTCCAGAGAAATTTTGGCTTTGTTCGTGCTCACAGAAAAGTTCGGCGCTTGCGGTGACGGCTGTGTCTGCCGACGAATGCTAATAGAGCGCATGGATCCCTATAAGCGTAGGGAAAAACATCAAATGACCTGAATGTTGTTGCACATTCGGGTGGCCCATGTTCAAATACACCTACCAAAGTAATTGGTAAGACGAGACCCGTAATTATGCTGGAAATTGCTTGGGAGTGAAGCGAGATCGATTGGTCAGGGACCTCCACGACGGAAAATTGTCTGCTCCATGATCTGCACAGGTGCGGTTGTTTTCGCTTCTCGGGGCTACAAACGTCCGAAACGAGGTTTTTTCTTCAATGTATAGACGTCATTTGTGAGTTCGCGGACCCGCAATTATGCTTAAAAGTGCCTGGGACTGAAGCGAGAGCGATTGGTCAGGGACTCCACGACGGAAAATTGCCTGCTCCATGATCTGCACATGTGCGGCTGTTTTTGCTTCTCGGGGCTACAAACGTCAGAAACGAGGTTTTTCCTTCAATTTAAAGATGCCATTTGTGAGTTTGCGGACCTGTAATTATGCTGGAAAGTGCCTGGGAGTGAAGCAAGATCGATTGGTCAGGGACCTCCACGACGGAAAATTGCCTGCTCCATGATCTGCACAGGTGCGGTTGTTTTCGCTTCTTGGGGCTACAAACGTCAGAAACGAGGTTTTTTCTTCAATGTAAAGACGTCATTTGTGAGTTTGCAGACCCGCAATTATGCTGGAAAGTGCCTGGGAGTGAAGCGAGAGCAATTGGTCAGGGACCTCCACGACGGAAAATTGCCTGCTCCATGATCTGCACATGTGCGGCTGTTTTCGCTTCTCGGGGCTACAAATGTCGAAACCAGGATTTTCCTTCAATGTAAAGATGCCATTTGTGAGTTCGTGGACCCGTTATTATGCTAGAAAGTGCCTGGGAGTGAAGCGAGATCGATTGGTCAGGGACCTCCACGACGGAAAATTGTCTGCTCCATAATCTGCACAGGTGCGGTTGTTTTCGCTTCTCGCGGCTACAAACGTCCGAAACGAGGTTTTTTCTTCAATGTAAAGACGCCATTTTGTCAATTTGCGGACCCACAATTATGCTGGAAAGTGCGTGGGAGTGAAGCGAGAGCGATTGGTCAGGGATCTCCATGACCGAAAATTGCCTGCTCCATAATCTGCACAGGTGCGGCTGTTTTTGCTTCTCGGGGCTACAAACGTAAAAAACGAGGTATTTTCTTCAATGTAAAGACATCATTTGTGATTTCGCAAACCCGCAATTATGCTGGAAAGTGCCTGGGAGTGAAGCGAGAGCGATTGGTCAGGGACCTCCACGACGGAAAATTGCCTGCTCCATGATCTGTGCAGGTGCGGTTGTTTTCGCTTCTCGGGGCTACAAACGTCAGAAATGAGGCTTTTTCTTCAATGTACAGACGTCATTTGTCAGTTTGCGAACCCGCAATTATGCTGGAAAGTGCTTGGGAGTGAAGCGAGATCGATTGGTCAGGGACCTCCACGACGGAAAATTGTCTGCTCCATGATCTGCACATGTGCAGCTGTTTTCGCTTCTCGGGGCTACAAACGTCCAAAACGAGGTTTTTTCTTCAATGTAAAGACGTTATTTGTGAGTTCACCGACCTGCAATTATGCTCGAAAGTGCCTGGGAGTGAAGCGAGATTGATTGGTCAGGGACCTCCACGACGGAAAATTGCCTGCTCCATGATCTGCAGAGGTGCGGCTGTTTTCGCTTCTCGCGGCTACAAACGTCAGAAACGAGGTTTTTTCTTCAATGTAAAGACGTCATTTGTGAGTTCTCAGACCTATAATTATGCTGGAAAGTGCCTGGGAGTGAAGCAAGATCGATTGGTCAGGGACCTCCACGACGGAAAATTGTCTGCTCCATGATCTGCACAGGTGCAGCTGTTTTCGCTTCTTGGGGCTACAAACGTCTGAAATGAGGTTTTTTCTTCAATATAAAAACGTCATTTGTGAGCTCGCGGACCCGCAATTATGCTGGAAAGTGCCTGGGAGTGAAGCGAGAGCAATTGGTCAGGGACCTCCACGACGGAAAATTGCCTGCTCCATGATCTGCACATGTGCGGCTGTTTTCGCTTCTCGGGGCTACAAATGTCCAAAACGAGGTTTTTCCTTCAATGTAAAGATGCCATTTGTGAGTTCGCGGACCCGTAATTATGCTGGAAAGTGCCTGGGAGTGAAGCGAGAGTGATTGGTCAGGGACCTCCACGACGGAAAATTGTCTGCTCCATGATCTGCACAGGTGCGGTTGTTTTCGCTTCTCGGGGCTACAAACGTCAGAAACGAGGTTTTTCCTTCAATATAAAGACGTCATTTGTGAGTTCGCGGACCCGCAATTATGCTGGAAAGTGCCTGGGAGTTAAGCAAGATCGATTGGTCAGTGACCTCCACGACGGAAAATTGCCTGCTCCATGATCTGCACAAGTGCGGCTGTTTTCGCTTCTCGGGGCTACAAACGTCCAAAACGAGGTTTTTTCTTCAATGTAAAGACGTCATTTGTGAGTTCGCAAACCTGCAATGATGCTGGAATGTGCCTAGGAGTGAAGCGAGAGCGATTGGTCAGGGACCTCCACGACAGAAAATTGCCTGCTCCATGATCTGGCCAGGTGCGGTTGTTTTCGTTTCTCGGGGCTATAAACGTCAGAAACGAGGTTTTTTCTTCAATGTGAAGGCTTCATTTGTGAGTTCGCGGATCCAAAATTATGCTGGAAAGTACCTGGGAGTGAAGCGAGATCGATTGGTCAGGGACCTCCACGACAGAAAATTGCCTGCTCCATGATCTGCACAGGTGCGGCTGTTTTCGCTTCTCGGGGCTACAAACGTCCAAAACGAGGTTTTTTCTTCAATGTAAAGACGTCATTTGTAAGTTCGCAGACCCGCAATTATTCTGAAATGTGCCTGGGAGTCAAGCAAGATCGATTGGTCAGGGACCTCCACGACGGAAAATTGCCTGCTCCATGATCTGCACATGTGCGGCTGTTTTTGCTTCTCGGGGCTACAAACGTCCGAAACGAGGTTTTTCCTTCAATTTAATATGTCATTTATGAGTTTACAGACCTGTAATTATGCTAGAAAGTGTCTGGGAGTGAAGTAAGATCGATTAGTCAGGGACCTCCACGACGGAAAATTGCCTGCTCCATGATCTGCACAGGTGCAGCTGTTTTCGCTTCTCGGGGCTACAAACGTCCGAAACGAGGTTTTTTCTTCAATGTAAAGACGTCATTTGTGAGTTCGCGGACCCGCAATTATGCTAGAAAGTGCCTGGGAGTGAAGCGAGATCGATTGGTCAGGGACCTCCATGACGGAAAATTGCCTGCTCCATGATCTGCACAGGTGCGGTTGTTTTCGCTTCTCGCGGCTACAAACGTCCGAAACGAGGTTTTTTCTTCAATGTAAAGACGTCATTTGTAAGTTCGCGGACCCGCATTTATGCTGAAAAGTGCCTGGGAGTGAAGCAAGATCGATTGGTCAGGGACCTCCACGACGGAAAATTGCCTGCTCCATGATCTGCACATGTGCGGCTGTTTTTGCTTCTCGGGGCTACAAACGTCCGAAACGAGGTTTTTTCTTCAATGTAAAGATGCCATTTATGAGTTTGCAGACCTGCAATTATGCTAGAAAGTGCCTGGGAGTGAAGCAAGATCGATTGGTCAGGGACCTCCACAACGGAAAATTGCCTGCTCCATGATCTGCACAGGTGCAGCTGTTTTCGCTTCTCGGGGCTACAAACGTCCGAAACGAGGTTTTTTCTTCAATGTAAAGACGTCATTTGTGAGTTCGCGGACCCGCAATTATGCTAGAAAGTGCCTGGGAGTGAAGCGAGATCGATTGGTCAGGGACCTCCACGACGGAAAATTGCCTGCTCCATGATCTGCACATGTGCGGTTGTTTTCGCTTCTCGCGGCTACAAACGTCCGAAACGAGGTTTTTTCTTCAATGTAAAGACGTCATTTGTGATGTCAATTCGCGGACCCGCAATTATGCTGGAAAGTGCGTGGGAGTGAAGCGAGAGCGATTGGTCAGAGACCTCCACGACGGAAAATTGTCTGCTCCATGATCTGCACAGGTGCGGCTGTTTTTGCTTCTCGGGGCTACAAACGTCCGAAACGAGGTTTTTTCTTCAATGTAAAGACGTCATTTGTTATTTTGCAAACCTGCAATTATGCTGGAATGTGCCTGGGAGTGAAGCGAGAGTGATTGGTCAGGGACCTCCACGACGGAAAATTGCCTGCTCCATGATCTGTGCAGGTGCGGTTGTTTTCGCTTCTCGGGGCTACAAAGATAAGAAATTAGGTTTTTTTTCAATGTACAGACGTCATTTGTCAGTTTGCAGACCCGCAATTATGCTGGAAAGTGCCTAGGAGTGAAGCGAGATCGATTGGTCAGAGACCTCCACGACGGAAAATTGCCTGCTCCATTATCTGCACATGTGCAGCTGTTTTCGCTTCTCGGGGCTACAAACGTCCAAAACGAGGTTTTTTCTTCAATGTAAAGACGTTATTTGTGAGTTCGCGGACCCGAAATTATGCTGGAAACTGCCTGGGAGTGAAGTGAGAGCGATTGGTCAGGGACCTCCACGACGGAAAATTGCCTACTCCATGATCTGCACAGGTGCGGCTGTTTTTGCTTCTCGGGGCTACAAACGTCCGAAACGAGGTTTTTTCTTCAATGTAAAGATGCCATTTTTGAGTTCGCTGACCTGCAATTATGCTAGAAAGTGCCTGGGAGTGAAGCGAGATCGATTGGTCAGGGACCTCCACGACGGAAAATTGTCTGCTCCATGATCTGCACAGGTGCGGCTGTTTTCGCTTCTCGCGGCTACAAACGTCCGAAACGAGGTTTTTTCTTCAATGTAAAGACGTCATTTGTGAGTTCGCGGACCTGCAATTATGCTGGAAAGTGCCTGGGAGTGAAGCGAGATCGATTGGTCAGGGACCTCTACGACGGAAAATTGCCTGCTCCATGATCTGCACAGGTGCAGCTGTTTTCGCTTCTCGGGGCTACAAACGTCCGAAACGAGGTTTTTTCTTCAATGTAAAGACGTCATTTTTTAGTTCGCGGACCCGCAATTATGCTGGAAAGTGCCTGGGAGTGAAGCGAGAGCAATTGGTCAGGGACCTCCACGACGGAAAATTGCCTGCTCCATGAACTGTAGATGTGCGGTTGTTTTCGCTTCTCGGGGCTACAAATGTCCAAAACGTGGTTTTTCCTTCAATGTAAAGATGCCATTTGTGAGTTTGGGCACCCATAATTATGCTGGAAAGTGCCTGGGAGTGAAGCGAGATCGATTGGTCAGGGACCTCCACGACGAAAAATTGTCTGCTCCATGATCTCCACAGGTGCGGTTGTTTTCGCTTCTCGGGGCTACAAACGTCCAAAACGAGGTTTTTTCTTCAATGTAAAGACGTCATTTTGTCAGTTCGCGGACCCGCAATTTTGCTGGAAAGTGCGTGGGAGTGAAGCGAGAGCGATTGGTCAGGGACCTCCATGACGGAAAATTGCCTGCTCCATGATCTGCACAGGTGCGGCTGTTTTTGCTTCTCGGGGCTACAAACGTCAAAGACGAGGCTTTTTCTTCAATGAAAAGACGTCATTTGTGAGTTCGTGGACCCGCAATTATGCTAGAATGTGCCTCGGAGTGAAGCGAGAGCGATTGGTCAGGGACCTCTACGACGGAAAATTGCCTGCTCCATGATCTGCGCAGGTGCGGTTGTTTTCGCTTCTCGGGGCTACAAACGTCAGAAACGAGGTTTTTTCTTCAATGTAAAGACGTTATTTGTAAGTTCGCCGACCCGCAATTATGCAAGAAAGTGCCTGGGAGTGAAGCAAGATCGATTGGTCAGGGACCTCCACGACGGAAAATTGTCTGCTCCATGATCTGCACATGTGCGGCTGTTTTTGCTTCTCGGGGCTACAAACATCCGAAACGAGGTTTTTTCTTCAATGTAAAGATGTCATTTGTGAGTTTGCAGCCGCGAGAAGGGAAAACAGCCGCACCTGTGCAGATCATGGAGCAGGCAATTTTCCGTCGTGGAGGTCCCTGACCAATCGATCTCGCTTCACTTCCAGGCACTTTCCAGCATAATTGCGGGTCCGCGAACTCACAAATGGCGTCTTTACATTGAAGGAAATTCCTCGAAACTGAAGTTTGTAGCCCCGAGAAGCGAAAACAGCCGCACATGTGCAGATCATGGAACAGACAATTTTCCGTCGTGGAGGTCCCTGACCAATCGCTCTCGCTTCACTCCCAGGCACTTTCCAACATAATTGCGGGTCTGCAAACTCACAAATGACGTCTTTACATTGAAGAAAAAAACCTCGTTTCGGACGTTTGTAGCCGCGAGATGCGAACACAACCTTACTGTCAAACATTATATATGTTGGGTTTGTTAGGCTACAGTGGGTTAGCCTATATGGGGTACACAATTCTAGGGTTTGCTTTTTGTACTGATTTCTCTGTTAGTTCAATCATTCCTGTCTGTTAACTCCGACATGGTTTCAGAGCAGGTCCTTCGCTAGGACCGTCCTAAGGGCCCACCTACCTACCTACCTACCTACCTACTACCGGAGTGCCTTCTTAGCGCCTCCCACGTAGCGCCCTCGAGCGCTTTATTATTAACCTTTTTTTTTTCGGCCCCGCTGGCCCCGTCGATCGAGCCCCGCCTAGAGGCCCCGCGGCCCCGTCGTTTTTTCACCTAGAGGCCCCTCACGGCCCCGTCGCGCCGCCTCGCAGCCGCCCGTCGCCCGTTAGCGCACGCCCCGCAGGCCCTTAGCCCGCCGTCGCAGCGGCCGCTCGCTCGCAGCCGCCTGTCGCCCGCTAACGCGCGCCTCGCAGCCGCCCGTCGCCTGCTCGCGCGCGCCCCGCAGCCGCCCGTTGCCTGCTCGCGCACGCCCCGCAGCTGCTCGTCGCCCGCTCGCGCACGCCCCGCAACCGCTCGTCGCCCGCTAGCGCACGCCCCGCAGCCGCTCGTCGCCTTTTCGCGCTCGCTCCGCAGCCGCCCGTCGCCTGCACACACCCGCCCCGCAGGCCCGTAGCCCGCCGTCTCAGTGGCTGCCCGCCTGCAGCCGCCGTCGCCCACTCGCGCACGCCCTGCTGCCCGCAGCCGCTTGTACGCTGCTTCTTCCGCTGCTGCTTGCGCACCGCTCCCTCCCGAGCACCGTTGCTGCCCCTACGCTGCTGCTGCCCGTGCGCCACCGCTACTCGTGCACCGCCGCTGCCACTCGTGCGCTTCTTCAGCCGCAGCCCGCGAGGCCCACGCTCTCACTGCTATTATTTTCTATCTACCGTGCACACTGCTGCCACTACACCAGCCACCATTGCACCGTTGCAGCTCCTGCTGCCCAGCTACCTACTACTGCCGCTAGTGTGCCACTACGGACAGTCGACCCCGCCCGCGCCTTACCTAGTGGCCCAGCCGGCCCCGTTGACTCTCCGCACACTGTTCCAGCGGCCTGATTCCTACTGCTACTGTCGCTATGGCTAGCCCTCCCGTTCTAGCTTTCGATGCCGAGGGCCGTCCGGTGAAGTTCGAAACCTGGCTAGATGACCTGCATCTGTTCCTACAGCTCACTGCCAAGGAAGATATCTCACTGTACGACCACGCCCTAGGCCATGCCACTGCCCCTGACTCGACTGCTGACAGCACTCTGCGTTCCCAGTGGCAGACCCGTGATGCGCATGCTCGCTTTGCTATTCGCAACTCCCTGCCGCTAGACGAGCGCGAGCACTTCGGCCAGTGCAAGACTGCTAAGGACCTCTACACCGCTGTAGTTGCCCGCTACTCCTCACCCGCTTCTGCCACGCTAGGCCGCCTCACTCTCCCCTACCTGTTCCCCGACCTAGCCTCCTTTCACACTGTCGCAGACCTCATCACCCACCTTAAGACTAGTGAGGCCCGCTTTCGCGCTGCTATGCCTGCCGAGTTTCTCACTAGCAACCCCCCCCCGCTCTGGATCACTCTCTACCACATCGTCACCCGCCTCCCTGACTCTCTGCGCGCAGTCAGGGACCACTTCCTCTCTCGCTCCCCCACTGAGCTCACTGTTGCCCTCCTCGAGAAGGAACTGCTTGCAGCTGAGGCGAGCATCGTCGCTGTAGGCACCTCTCGTGGCGACCCCCGCACCCCGTTCTTTGAGGGGTGTTCCCCTTCCCCCCTCCTCCCCTCTGTCGCCTCTGCTGCTGCTGTCGACCTTCTTGGTGCTGAGAAGGTCGGGACCGCGTCTGCTTCGAGCGGGCGCCGCAGGAACAAAGGGGGCAGGGGTGGGGGTGGTGGCGGAGGAGGTGGGGGTGGAGGCGGTGGGAGTGGAGGCGCGGCTGGGGAGACTGGTGGCGGCAGTGGGGGAGGAGACAGCAGCGGTGGGAGTGGTGGTGGAGGCGGCAGCGGAGGCGGAGGTGGTCGTGGCGGCGGCAGGGGTGGAGGTGGCCGGGGCGGCGGCGGTGGGGGTGGTGGTCGTGGAGGCACTGGCGGAGGGCAGAGTCAGCAGCCCGCCCCGACGCTTCAGGCCGCCCGTGAGTGGTATGCGCAGCGTAGCGTTATCTGCACGTACGTCATTCGCACAGGTGACCGCAGCGGCCAGCAGTGTGGGAGGCCGCACCCCACGCAGCGCTGCTTCGCGCGCCTTAACGACGCGTGGCGCACTCAGTTTCCTGCTGCCACTGAGCTGCCGCGCTGGGCTGATCTGGAAAAGAGGGGTGTTGATATTTGGGCTTTAGACTTTGATGCTATTCTCACTGCCATGTATGCGATGTCTATTAGTGGAGAGGGTGCTCAGTACTTGCGTGTTCCGCCCGACCCGGGCATTCAGACCAGTCCGGCTGCCGCTCTAGGTGCTAGTGCGTCTGCTCCCACAGGTCCTGGTGAGGCTGCTGCCCTAGGTGCTCGTGCGTCCGTCCCCCCTGGTACTGAGTCGACTGCAGCACTGCACACCTTCACACTGGACTCAGGTGCTTCTCGCTCCTTCTTTCGTGACCGCACTGTCCTTGAGCCACTAGCTCGGCCAGTTGCTGTCTCTCTTGCTGACCCCTCTGGGGGTCCGGTCATTGCGACCTCCTCCACTGTCCTTCCTTGTCCGGCGGTCCCGTCTGGCACGCTGTCAGGTCTCTACCTCCCCTCGTTCTCTACGAACTTGGTGGCAGGTAGTGCACTCCAGGACGGGGGTGTTCACCAGTTCACCCCTGCCTACGAGCGCGTGACACACTGCACGTGTGCTCGGACGGGTCGCCACCTGGCTACCTTCACTCGGGAGCCGGGGTCGGACCTTTACACACTGACCACTGAGTCCCCTCAGGTAGCTGCGTCCGCGTCTGCGTCTGCGTCAGGTCAGCTGTCCGCCCCCTGCTCGTGTCGCTCTCTGACGCATGAGACTGTCCTCTGGCACCACCGCCTTGGTCACCCGTCTGTGCAGCGCCTTCGGGCCATGCACAAACGGGACCTTGTTGCTGGTCTTCCCAGGGTGCTCCCTCCCCTTCCCGACTCGCCTGCTCCTCCCTGTATTCCCTGTGTCGAGGGACGGCAGCGCGCCGCTCCTCACTCCTCCTCCTTTCCCCCGACGACTGCTCCCTTGCAGACGCTCCACATGGACGTGTGGGGCCCAGCCCGCGTCCGTGGTCAGGGTCAGGAGAGGTACTTCCTGATTGTTGTTGACGACTTCTCGCGCTACACCACGGTCTTCCCCTTGCGCGCCAAGGGTGACGTCCCTGATGTCTTGATCCCTTGGATCCGCAGATCTCGTCTCCAGCTCCGTGAGCGTTTCCGCTCCGACTTCCCTGTCCTGCGTCTGCACTCTGACAGAGGTGGGGAGTTCTCCTCTGGCCTATTGGAGGCCTTCTGTCAGCAGGAGGGCATTGAGCAGTCGTACACGCTTCCGGCCTCTCCACAGCAGAATGGGGTTGCTGAGCGTCGCATTGGTCTGGTCATGGAGGTCGCTCGTACCTCCTTGAGCCATGCGGCTGCCCCCCATTTTCTGTGGCCGTTTGCAGTCCGATACGCTGCGCATCAGCTCAACCTCTGGCCCCGTGTCTCCTTGCCCGAGACTTCTCCGACACTGCGTTGGACGGGAGAGGCTGGCGATGCGTCGCGTTTTCGGGTCTGGGGATCCCGAGCTTTTGTCCGCGACACGTCCGCGGACAAGCTCTCCCGTCGCGCTGTCCCCTGCGTCTTCCTTGGCTTTGTCCCGGACGCCCCTGGTTGGCAGTTCTACCACCCCACCTCGCGGCGTGTCCTGGCCTCTCAGGACGTCACTTTTGACGAGTCCGTCCCCTACTACCGCCTCTTCCCCTACCGCACTGCCCCGCTCCCCCCCCCGCCTCTCTTCCTCGCTCCAGGTGCTGAGGTACCAGACCCCCTCCCCCCTCAGGGTGCCGCTCCCTCAGGTGTGTCCCAGGTAGACCCGGGTGAGCCTGTCGAGGTAGCTGTTGACTCTCGTCCTGCTAGGGGTGCTGAGCCTGGGGGTGCTGCGTCTGGGGGTGCTGAGCCTGGGGGTGCTGCGTCTAGGGGTGCTGAGCCTGGGGGTGCTGAGTCTGAGGGTGCGGAGCCTGGGGGTGCTGAGCCAGGAGGTGCGGAGCCTGGGGGTGCTGAGTCTGGGGGTGCTGAGTCTGGGGGTGCTGAGCCTGCGCGTGCTACACCTGGAGGAGCCCTCTCCTCCCAGCAGCTGCAGGAGAGGTACCTCGAGTACTGCCGCCTCCGGAGAGGTGCTGCTGGAGCTCGTCCCGGTACTTCCCCTCCTACCCAGGAGCTCCCCCCCATTCAGCAGATCCGCGAGTGGTACACACGCCGCTGCAGTCTTCGGAGTGGTGCTCCTGGTGCTGCGGACCCTGGGGGTGGCGCTGCTGCTGGTGCTGAGGACCCGGACGTTGGAGCTGCTGCTGGTGCTGCGGACCCGCCTGG